GGCTTTCTCGCATCCCCAGAGGTCAAGAAAGGTGGCCGTCTCAATACCGGACTGCTTGACCAGCGATTCGCTATTGAATGGACTCGCCGTCACGTAGCCAAGTTTGGCGGTGACCCGAATCGCATCACTATAGGCGGCGAGTCGTCCGGCGCAGCGTCAGCCGTGTTCCACGCACTGGCCTACGGCGGCAAGGATACGGACCTCTTTGACAACGTATGCGAACCCCCATACCCAACTTATCAGTACTTAGCTTACTGAGCCATGGTTAGATTATCGCTGCGAGCCCGTACTTCCCAACGGTGTACAGCTACTCCGACCCCTTTACCCAGGCCCGCTACGATAAATTCGTCGAGCTCGCCGGCTGCAGCAAGCCCGGTGTCAACAAGCGCACGTTTGATTGTCTCGTGGCAGCTGATACTGAGGTGCTGCAAAACGCCAGCGGAGCTGTCTCGACGACACTGGGATACTTTGGTAGCTTCGCTTTCTTGCCCGTGATTGATGGTGATTACATCCAAGAACGACCAGCCGCACAGCTGCTGCGTGGGAAGCTGAGCGGGAAACGTGTTCTTATCGGCGTAAGTCTTCCAACAACATGTGATGTCAGTAGTCCACACTCACACGGTAATAGAACAATGCAAATGATGGTGTTCCCTTATTCAATCCCAACGTCTCTACGCGGTCTCAATATGACAGCTTCATCGCCGAGATGTTCCCCCTGTTCACACCAAAGGACGTGGGCAATCTGAATAAGATTTATCGAATCCCGAACAATTCACCCCCAGATAGCGGGACTGTCTTTGATACTCTCGGATACACAGGGCCGACGGCGTTGACACAATCGGGCCTGGGGACCGGCATCCAGCAGACGGTATTCAACATCGCCGCCGAAACCGTCTTCGACTGCCCGGCTCAGTGGATCGCCGAGGCCTTCAGCACGGGGCACAGATCGGCCTGGAGATACCAGTACTCGGTGACGCCGTCGTACCACGGCGCCGATCTGAGCGCGTACTTCTCCGTCAACGCGACACTGCCCAGCGAAGATTTCCGACACGCCTTTCAGAAGATCTGGGGAAATTTCATCATCAAAAACACGCCCGTCATCTCTGTTGCGGACGCCATGGGGCAGTTCAAAAACGCCTCTATACCCGTCGCCGGGAATAAGAGGAATATAAACTGGCCCCAATTCACGCACAACAATCCCGTCCACATGAATCTCAACACCACCGGCGGGGAGATCGACCTCGTCACCGTCACGGACGAATTAGCCTATTATGTTCGGACGGGCCCAGGCGTCGTGAACGATTTTAGTTTAGCTAATTCTCTCTCCTGGGAAGGCGGTCGGGGTAAGCGCTGTGACTTTTGGCGGGCTGTTTCGCCGAGAGTGCCGCAGTAAGCTGCGAGGCTTGCCCTGTATAATATATTGCAAAGTGTAATGTTCATGTGATGTATAAGTTTCCTTCGATTCTCAACGTAAGCTGCGATACATATCGGCAGCTTGTTACAATCTTGTATAGACAGTTAGACAAAAGAAGGTCCCCTGAAGGCTGAAGGGCTCTACGATGCCCAGATGAGAAAAGATCGGTCAATATATCCTTGGTCTTCACTGTGTGTTAGATAGCGTCACTCTTATTCAATTATAATACAATTAAGTCGCCGGTTTATGGCGTCCTTACGTCTACGGTCTCTTTGAATAACGAATGACAACCACTGAGGTGATTATGTTGGACTACCTTATGACTGATGAAGTGGTGCACATGATATAATCTAGTGAGATTTATAGGGGCTGATAGTGGTTGCGATGCCAGTTCAATGTGCCCTTGTCACTGTTTTTGCATGCTTTCGCAAGTCTCCATCCGCTAAACCTGTAGATACTAAAACTTTGCCTAGGTCTCGGGGTACGCTTTTTGCTCGCTAGTTAGCTCATATTATTCTAAGTAAACTATACACACATATGTATTCAACGCTTTGCTCTCAAAAGTTCATGAGTGTGGTAACCCGGTCACACTTTCATGACCATCAAAACCATTGACTCGAGAAGGGCTTTTGATATGTTGACCTCGTCTTCAACTTTGCCTTCATCTTCGTCTTCATATGCGTCCCCCACCCGAGCTGGAAGGGATAGATAGAAGTCGACCGTGTCTTTAACCTGCTCTTCGAATGTCTTGAACTGCATCCCAAACCTTTGCTTCTTCCTATTATTCTTGAATCTGCAACTTATAACACGTGGCGGGGTGTCCTCCGTCGCAAACACGGAACCGACCAGTTCCGGGTAGTATTTCCTGACAATGGGGATAGCGCTGGGCCAGTCAGTCCCACGGCCGTCCAGGATATACTTGCCCTCAGGGATGCATGGTGCCAAAGCATCAACGTGGCACGTCGCCACGTCGTCTATGTGGATGGATGCCGAGATCATACTCCTTCTTGAGTTTCCGAGGACATGGTCCAACAATATCGAGTTTGTGCCCCTGTTAAAAGTTTTTTTGGTTAGGCACAGCCGGTCAGGGCCGAAGACGCTGGGCAGCATGAGATACACGACGTCGAACTGAAGATTATCCATTATGTCATGGAATGCATTGTGTGACAACATTATAGCCTCGCTGCCAGTGTAAGCTCTTAGGGCAAATACTGTGACTGGCTCGTCTTGGCCTTGGGTTCTTGGTTAGTAGGCGGACAGACAATACTCGGCGGTGAGGGGGATTCACTTCTAATCGTTTTCGTGATCGCAATATCGATCGGATAATCATTATTAGGATCTCCATCTGGGAGGGCCGAGGTTGGTCTCTGGGGCGAGAACCAATCGAGCTCAAGGGGATGAAAGAAGGCAATAATTGATGACGTGAATACTACTCGCTTGATGAGGGGAGATTTCCTGGCGACGCGAATGATCTCAAAGATGATCCTAAGGCTGACGATTGCTGCTAATACCATAGGGTTGTTGAGCTAGAGCCACGTGAGCGTATATTCGGCGATACTGAGGTGCAGTGGCAATTGATCTAACATCGAAAATCGCCTCAGAAGGCGTGTAAATTATATATGTTGCCCCCTCGATGGCCCTGTCGAATCCTGCTAATCCCTGAACTAGCGGATCTGTACCCATACAATATTCGAAGTGGTCAACACGGCTGGCGGAGAGACAGTCTGCAATGTGTTGGGGATGCGCATGGCTTCGCGGCCAAAAGACGCCGCGGACCCGGTATCCAGAGTTAATGGCCTTGACCGCCGTCGCAAAGCCTATGAAGGAACCTGCCCCGAAAATCTGTTGACTATCAGAACTACTGCTCACCTTGGGGGCGGTTCTGCCACTTCTGGTTGCCTTACCACCACGGTTTCTCTAGGTGCGCTCTTCCCAGCCTTGTCGTTTGTAGGTTTGTCATCTTCGGGTTTGCTGTCTTGAGGCTTGCTGTCTTGAGGCTTGCCGTCTTGAGGCTTGCTGTCTTGAGGCTTGCTGTCTTGAGGTTTACTATGTTTGGGCTTGCTATCGTTGGATTCGTTGTTTTTAGATTCGTTTTTTCCAGGCTGATGGTCTCGAGTAATGGTTTCTTCGCGCGCATCTCCCTCAGGGTCTCCCTCATTAGCCTTGGATTTTCCTGCTCTCTTTTTTCTAGCCATTAGGGGTGTCCTGGTCCTCGGACGAAACGAATAGTCGGGATAGAACTGATTCTTAGGAATGACTAATTGGGTATTCAAAAATACATCCAAAAAGACGTGCGACAATGCCAGGCAACAAAGAGAGGTGTTAGACCGGCGGACGACATTTTCAATGATGGTAAATTCTCTCTAGGATGGCAAATTGACTAAGAGGATGGTTCTACTACACGCACGGGCTGCAACTTCCATACAACGCGTGATTCTGATCAACACTTTCCGCCTCATATAAACTCGCTGTCCGTCCGGAAACGCCGCCTCGAAAGGCCGTTCTTTAGATTTGGGATGTTACGGAAGGCATATTTTACGCAATGCAGGTACCGGCGTAACTTGAACGAACTTGAACGAACTTCTGTCAACCCACGGAAGGACCAAATCGGCTTTTGATCTTAATCGGCTTTTGATCCAGCGCTAGGTCTCTATATTTATCGAAGACCTCAACATTGGTTGAATGCCAGAGCAGTACAGGCTCAACAGTTTATTTGAGACCAAACGGCAAGGTATCAATCACTATACTAAGAACTATGTGGGAATTTGCATGTGAGTATTGAGATAATGTTCCATCAACGTTTGCGCCTACTATCTATCCTCCGTTAGCGATGTGTTCCGGCTTCAGTGATGCTACGCCCACACTCTCATGCACACCTTCTGCAGAAATACACAATGCCTCGAGGTCGCTGTTTTATATGAGTTGATTGTGACCAACCTTAGTACTGGTAGATTGGATGTGAGATTTATTGACGCGAAGTGAACATGTAACACTCTACCTATGTTCTACGTTGCTTATACATTCAACTCCGAAAGAGGAGGGGGACTTATACGAGGAATATCAACTATGCTCACATAGGCCTGCTATTTATAGTAGTATAACGTTCTCTATCAATTGGTAAATTCGAGAGAGCACAAGAGAACAGAAAACACTGTATCTACAAGGAGATATACATGCTAATTTACACTGAGTAACGAAGGTACACTTATACTGCAGATCCTACCTCAGTTATTTACCTAACCTACAAAGTAGGTAAACGGCCTACCTATTATTTGAGTTGTCCCACCACCACGTGCTAATCGATGCACGAACCGTTACCTAAGGTACTAGCACATCGGCTAAAGTGTGGTGTGGCCCGGTCACGCACATGGGATGTTAAAAAAAGACGACAAAAAAAGCAAAAAATCAGGACTGAGAGACGAAGGGGGATTCAGCCAAAGGGGAGAGAGGAACAAAGGGAAGAAAAAGAAGAAAAAAAGGAAAAAAGGACAAGAAAGAAAGAGAGAGAGAGAAAAAAGAAGGAAAAAAAGGAAAAAAAAAAGGAAGGGTTGCTATTCCCAGTTGAACTGGGAGGCATTAGGAATTGAGCCCAATGCGGGGGTCGAACCTGTGATCGCAAGTTAGTATAAACCGTTATCCCTACTCTAGGATTGTCGTCGGTTTACTCACCCGCAACCTTGAGATTAAGAGTCTCACGCTCTACCGATTGAGCTAACCGGGCGAGATTGTTGGGAGCCGGGCGAGCGAAACAAGCGTATTGTTTGTGCGGACTCCAAGAGGTAGGAATTCGTTATCGTACTCGAGATAGGACTATCTACTTGGTACCAGTACCTAGCTACCTCGAGGGTAAAGTACCCCAGCTAACAATCAACTGACCAACGCCAGAGAACTGGGAACAGATAAAACCTTCCCCTGAACACCTTGAATACAAAAGAGGCAACTTTGAGGGCAAGATACATTTCTGAATGCCACGGCTGCGCATTTGACAACATGGGATGGCCATGCAGCGTTGCCGTTGCCTACATCCTACCACGTGTGGCCTATTGAGCTCGATTTCACCCAAGAATCGCTCCTACAATTTTCCATTTGTGTATGCATCTCATCATCAAGCTAGAGAGATACACCAGGATATCGCCCCTCAAAACAGCGCCCCTCGGTTCGCCTATATTGAAGATGGGGAGCCTCCCGAACGATATCGCCCTGGAGGCTATCACCCGCTGTCCATTGGCGACATCTTGCATCACCGGTATCACATCGTGCACAAACTCGGTTTCGGCTCCTATTCCACCATTTGGCTCGCAAAGGACATCCAACAGCTAGGCAGATACATTGCCATAAAGATTAAAACGGCCGAGGGTGATGACGACTCAAAGGAGACCCAGATATGGCGTCACTTGTGGGCTGCTGCAAACGACCCCCAACAACTTACACCATCACCAGACACTACTTCCCTCGGAGTCACCTACAGCATATCCCCGATATGGGACGAATTCACAATCGACGGCCCAAACGGCACACACCGATGTATCGGGACGGTTCCAGCCAGAATGACTGTCGCAGAAGCCCAGGACGCTTCATATACTCAGCTTTTCCAGCTAAAAGTGGCACGAGTTATTGTGGCCCAGCTGATCAAAGCTGTGGCTTTCATGCACGCGAGAGGTTATGTCCACGCCGATCTACACCTTGGAAACGTCCTTCTCGCGTTTCCCAAAAGTATAGCCGAGATGCCCCCAGATAAGCTTTTCGAAACCTTTGGCAGCCCTAGGCTGGAACCCGTAAAGATCATTGGCAACAAGACGGGGCAGCCACTCCCTATCGGTATTCCCTCCCATATAGTGATTCCAGCCTGGTTCGGAGCAAGAAGCGAAGACATCAAGCTTGACGAGGCATCTGTAATATTGGCCGACTTCGGTGAAGCATTCGAACCATTCACTGAGAAAAGATTTCACTCTAACACCCCTCGCACCCTGCGACCGCCAGAAACCACATTTGCAGCGGAAAAGCCGATTTCATTCGCTGTTGACATATGGACACTGGCATGCTCCATCTGGACCATCCTCGGGCAACGGCCGCTGGTTGACATCTTTAGCTTCACGGACGACTACGTGACGAGAGAACAAGTGGACGCACTGGGGAGATTGCCCGAGGATTGGTGGACACGCTGGGACGCCCGGTCTAAGTATTTCGACAGCCAAGGGAATTTGTTGGACCACACGTGCCCACGGCGGAGTCTAGAAGTTCGTTTTGAAGACTCGATTCAACTCCCCAGGCGAAAACGCGGCATGGAATCGATCGGAGACGAAGAGAAATCTGCTCTACTCAGCATGTTGAGGGCCATGTTAGCCTTCATTCCTGAAGAGAGGCCCACTGCTGCGAGCCTGTTGGACTGCGAGTGGATGGTGAAATGGGCTCTTCCGGATCTCCGCGAGGCCGGCATAGCGAGCCCTTAGATAGAGGCTTCCATTTTCTAATCCCAAAACCTTCAGTCTTGGAGGCGTCCATACCAACCCTTTACTAAATTACCCTGCTTTAATTTAAAAAAGTAAGACTTTTTATTTAAAACCCCTTTTTATAAGTTTAAACTTTTAGCTTATATTGTATTTGACAAGATGCTGCACAGCTCGTTAGGTTAAGAAATAAACGCTGGAATTATTTGAAACGAAGGCTAGAAGGTTAGCCAAGTATTTCAGACGATGAGGGATTCGAATCCGTTTCTATACCTACCTACCTAGGTAGTGTAAATAACCCGGCGCCATGGCGAGGGTAATTGGAAGGGTGTCTTTAGCTTCGTACACTACCGGTACCTTAAGTTACCTACCTAGTCCAAAACGTGGCGTTGGTTATGAAAAGATCCGGGGTCGGCCGCATACTTTAGCGTCAAGTGAAATGATACTGGCGCACTACATATACGAAACACACATTGCCCTACTTACCTACATAAAGGTAGGTACACTGGATAACCCCTTTTTCTGGAATAAAAGCTGAGCGCACGGTAGGTAAACTATACGCGAACTAGTCTGCTTGCTCAACGTCCTAGGGTCTTATCAAAAGCTCATTTAATAGTACCTATAGTACCTAAGTACCTAGTGTATGCATCTGTTCAAGTACCCGCTAGACTAACACTATATCTATATGTAAGTAGGTAGAATATATTGGTATTGATCTGTACAGTAGATATAGTCCGTTGTATCTCATGGGAGTGCCTGGTCTGTTCGCTAAGTACTGTAGCTGGGGTAGTAGATAGTATACCTAATAACACAAGACAGTTAACGCCCAAGGTAGGTAGGTAGTTTCGCCACGACCACTGAGCCAACAGTGCAACACAAATACATAGTTAGGTAGCGTGATAGTCACCAAGAGATCTACCTATCAGCTGAAAAAAGATAGGTAGATGCTGGTAGGCTGGTATATTCTAGTAATCCTGTCCGACCTGTTCTTGGTTGACATCAGACATGCTGGGACAGTAATTGTACAAGCAACCTTGCTGAGGGGCTGTCGATCATATACCACGCTTCGTACGAAGTAGTGCCTACCGTATGAGCGAAGCTTCAGCCGCAAGTGACGTATCTGTACTTTGTAGTTGGAGAGCTGATTTGGGTGCCACCATTGTGTCGATTGCGATATACATACATATGTCGTATATATTCTAGCCCTTAATTGCAAGACTAGGCAACGTTTGGTAGGTACTTGCCCTTCATCTTAAGGGGTTTGAACGATTCGTCGATGAGCATGGCGTCGTTTTTGACTTTTGACTGACTGGGGCCCACGCCTGCCTTGCTGACTGTTTCTAGAACTATTCCCTGTCGAAGGATCGACTCATGGGGCCACTAGTACCAATCATAGTAGCAATTTTGACAAATCATGCCCGATATGTCGTCAAATACCTGTATCTATATTGGGAAGAAAGGCCGTAATCAAGCAACAAAATACATGCTATTAAACGCGACAATCTGCGTGTTGAAATTGCAATGGATGGTTTCGCCCATGCCGTGCCTTTTTAGTCGTTCGTTGTGCTGTTACCGTGGTTTGAACGAACTTCCACTTTCTCTGCCATCATCGTATCTTGATCATCCTCGACCTAGAAACCCTTTCCCAAGATTTCAAAACAGACTGAATTCAGGATGGACCAATCTGGAGTTGCCACCATGAGACGATTGCATCCGAACGGGAGTCCGGCGGCAAGACCGGTCAGCTGGAGTGCCATTCCCGCCGACGACCCAGCTGCGCATGAACAGATGATCAAGTTCATCTCCGAGTCGATCGTAGACGACATCCAAGGCAACATCTCCAGCGCCTTCATGAGACAGATGCAGGCCTCCAAGAAAAGCGCCATGTCACCTCACGACAAGGCAGAACGGATGCGTATCGTCCGTGCTATGCGAACAACCCTGGAGCGCCTTACCGAGGATTTGGGAAAGAAGTTTTTTGAAGAATTCCGCCAGAGACCGGCCGTTGGCCGATGGTACGACTCTTGGTTGTTGAACGAGACGCCGCAGTTCCTGCGCTGGGAGCAGGAATGGGCCTTCGCGCCTGAGGGCGGCTTGGTTGCCCTCGACGCACGCAGCATTGGCGGCAGTACTGATGGGCGTGTATTTGGTTCCGAGACCACTCCCGAAGTCCGGGTGGAATCCGAAAGGGACCTTGAAGAGTTTGATGACACGCAGGAGTTGTCTCCAGTTCCCGAGTACAGACCGGACGCGCCGGTGACCGAGGTATGCTGGAACCCCCCATCCTTCCTGCTCGTGTGTGTGTGTGGCCAGGCGACAGTTCAGTTGACTTAAAAAATGTTGTTAGAAAAAAACAGACGGTCCAGCACCAGCTGCTTCTGGTTGCCAGTGTGAAAATCACCAAGAAGGCCCCGAGTCGGAACACGCGCCCCATCTCTGCGAGACGTGTGCCTGCAGCAACCAGGGCTTTGGTTGCCTCGCGTCCTGCGGCTGCGACGAGACGTGCAAGAATAACTTCAACAGCATCGCGCTCGACAACATCCTCGGCACCGACGCGTCCGGGTCCCCGACGAAACTCGATCCGTGCTTCATCACCTACTTACAAAAACGCAATCTTCGAGAGGGCATCACGCTTGACTTTCTCTTTGAACATCTTCTCACCGGTCTGGACCATGTACCAGATGGCCACGATGAGGCAATCGATGCGTGGCGGGTGGAATGGGAGACGGGCTATAACGGACCGGACCCAGAAGCCAAAACGGAAAAGTTGCAACGAGAGCTCCTCTGCATCGGACTCGGGCTTGGCGACGAGCACAGGGGATGGTTCTTCTCATTCTGTTACCACAACGAGGAGCGGCTCGGGAGCTGGCAGCAGGGGCGCGAGGTATGGCACTGCAGAGACTGCGGAAGCTGCAGCGAGAGGCAAGAGTGGCACTGCGGAGACTGCAACAAGTGCACATTTGGGAGGGCTATTCCCTGCAACGGATGTGGAGGCGTCTCAGATTCGTATCACGAAGACCACTAAGAACACAAAGGGCGACCAGCCTCAAGCCGTGCTGGTCAAGGCCGTGGTGGCCTGCCGACGCCTGAAGAAGGCAGCGACGAAGCTGAAGAAACGATCATCCCAGATCTTCGGCGTGGGAAACAAGATTGCGACAACGTGATGGCCTACCTAAGGCTGTAAACTAGATAGCGGCGCCTACATAATTGCAAGCATGGAGCGTGGTGTCCGGGAGTTTTGATTTACGCGACAGTAGCGACGGTAGCAGAGACT